AATAGGTATTTATTAATTTCCTGACTTTTAAACTTATCTTTTAATAATCAAAGGAATAATTTTATTAACCTTAGCCGAGTTTAAACTCATTTTTATTTAATCTCTTGCTTTTTAAATAAAGCCTTTATAAAATGCAAAAAAATATAAACAGTTCTCCTGTTATTTTCTTGATTATAAGCAACATATAGTAAATTATCAAAATACTATATTGAGAATCTTTTTGCAAATAATTAGAAACAAATTAGAATGGTTAGAATAAATGTAATATCGGAACAATCATAACTGCTACATAGTGTATAAGTATAAAATATATTGATAAATGTTAAAACACTAAAAGATAATGAAATGCTAGAATAGATAAGAAATACAATTTGATCTAATAAAATAGTATATTTCGAATATTTTTATGATTAGAGAGAATATCATTCTATAGAGCTAGTTAATATAATAACAAAGTTGATTAATTTATTATATTTTTTTTAAATAAAATAAAAGATGCATAAGATAAATAATCTATTATTATTTGCAATGTTTTACATTGTGTTTGGTAATACAAATCTTAATTTTAACTGTTCAACAGTCTAGGATATTACATAATGTTTACAGGCTTCAGATTTTTGTACTTTAGTATATAAAAATAATGCTAGGTTACATAGTTGAAGCTAATGTCCCATATTTATCAGCTGAAAATAAGAATGAAGGAGTTATTCTTAATGAAGTGAATGATGTTTGCATGGTAATCAATTATAATAAAAGAGAACTTAAATTTCTACACAGTGTGTGATCAATTAAAGACAGAAAAATCATGTAAACTTGGAACTTGCTTTTGGGATCCAATCTAGATGAAATGTTATGTATAATATATATATATAAAGAAAGAAATGGGACTCAGCTCCTTGCTCAAGTTATCCAGTATTATTTTGTTAATGGAATAATGAATGTGAATTAATCAACTAAACTTAAATTCTTTAGTTGAATTAGAACTATACATTGATGAATGACGTTGATACATTTTAAAATGATGGTAGATTAAACGGAACATGGTTATATGAATTTGGATTAATTATGGATGTTAAGTAGATAGATAAAGATTAAGAAGAATATAACTTCTAAAAATGTATCTTAAAAAATAGATGTGAATACATTTAAATTATTGATTATAATCAAGCTGATTATGAATGTAGTATTTCAGATTTAAATTGTTATTTTGATAGTTTGGAAAATAAATGTAAAAAAATAAGTGCTTAAACATAATGTGAATTAATTAATTGGGAATCTAAATGTAATAGTGGAACAGCTCCATGCATTTGGATTGATAGAAAATGCTAAACGTATGATAGTGCTGTTGTTACTTGTGGTTAACTTGATTCAAATAGATGTTTAAATAATGAAAATTGTTATATTTAAGATTAAAAATGTAGATCTTTTTTAAGCTGTGCTGATTTCAAAGTTAAATCTTCTTGTGATGAATCTAATTATTTTTGCTATTTTGATGAATATCAATAATAATGTAAATAATTAACAAAACATATACAATGTAAAAAAATTGGACAAAAAAATTGTAAAGAATTTAAATACTGTCAATATAATTTAGATAATCAAATTTGTGAAGAACTTCTTCAAGATTTTTATTGTTAAAAATTTATAAAAGATGATTGTCCAAATAATAGTAAACTCCAAACTTAAAAATGTTTATGGGATGATAATTTATAAATATGTAATTGGAATTATGCAACTTAAAATTGTGATACTAAAACATTTCTTAATTGTGATGATTCTGAAAATTAGTGCTATTATGATTATGCAATGAGTAAATGTTCTACTGTATAACCAAATACAACCTGTGAGTTTATTGGATAATATTCATGTAACAATTAAAAAATTTAAGAATAAAACTTATGTCAATGGTCTTAAAGTAGGAATTTATGTTTATCTATATTTGATTTCAATTGTGAAGAATTATTGCCACAATTTTGTAAATATTTTGAAAATTGTTTTGAAGATAACAAAATCTGTAAAACTAGAAAACAATGCAAAGATAATGTATCAATTACAGAATGTTAGTAAGATTCATAATAATCCTGTTATTTTGATTATGAATTCAAATTATGTAGAAGAGTTACTGCTTAAACTTCATGCGATCTTATTTTTAACAATATATCATGCAATCAAGCTATTTGTTCTTGGTTTAATAATAAATGTGAACATATAGAAAAAGTTAGTTGTAAATTAATTGATCCTAAAAATTGTAAATATTCTAGCAAATGTTTATTATAAAATAATTAATGTATTCCTTTAGATGTCTGTGAAGAAAATAATGGAAATAAAAAAGCTTGTATACAAGATCAAAATCATTGCTTTTATAATTCAATTACTCAAATATGTAAACATATTGATGGATAAACTGATTGTAGTTTATTAAATGATAATGCAAATAATTGTAGCTATGCTCATTGTAAATATTTTAATTATTTAGGTTTTATAAATGATTCATTAAATAAAAGATTGTAATGTATCAAATTGGAAAATGTTCAATGTTCCTGGTTGAAATAAGAGTATTGTAATTTTGGACAATGTACTTGGAATTAAAGGTGTGTTCCTTATCCTGTCGTAAATGATATAGAACCTTAAGATAATCCTGATGCTAAACCTGAAGAAGAAACTATCAATAACGAAGAGATACCTACACATTCACCTTATTTTGCCATTTTTATCAATCTATTGATAATTATTTTAGCATGATGAAATAATTTCTTTATTATTTCACATGTTATTATCATTTATTTTATAATAAAAAATTTCTTAATTTTAAAACATCATATTTACAGGAATCTTCTCCAACCTCATTAGGTAGTTTTATTTTTTCCATTGCTTCATGGAATTCATTATGAACTTCTGTTGGAACTGTCAATTTCAAAAATTCAATTGTCTCTTTTAATTTTTATCTCTCCTTTATCTTAATTTTTATTTAATCATCTTAATTATCTTCTTATGTATTTATTCTAAAATCTGATGGCTTTAGTTCCTATATTTCCTTAATTTTTTTTTCTATATTCTTTTATATTTAAAAATTGGGAAATTATTACATTTTCCCCCCTATTTCCTAATGGGTCATGATTTCAATTAATTAAATTTCATTACTGCTATGAAGGCAAAATTTACATTAAATATCTTATTATTACTCTGAGTAAAATTCAAAAGGATAATTGTGTTCATCGCATATTTTATAAGGGGATTAAAACAAATTTAGTAAGTTATTTAGATGCCTAAACTGGGTTGAGTTTAAACTGGTAATCTTTTTAATGCATTCATGAATGATACAATTACATTGTGTGTTTGCCAAATTTTTCATACATTCACTTTCAAATGATGAATGTTTTTACATTAAAATAATAAATATTATATATTTATAATAAATATCAAATATTCCTGTGATTTTGAAAAATCATGAATTTCTTCAATTTTTGAGGATGTAATTTCTTTCAAAAATATATTATCTTAAATATACTCCTACAAAGTTTATTAGTAATTTAAGGAGTACTTTTAAATATTGGAAAACAAATAAGAATTAATATTCTAATATACAAAAAATTTTTTATCTTATTATTTAATTCAACTCTCTTTAAATAAATATATAAGAGAGTAAATAATTTAATGTTTAATAAATACTCTTTAACTTTTAAATCAGCAAATTTAGAATAAGAATACAGAGAAAGTTAAATACCGGTAGTGAAAAAAGAATATACAGCATTTTCTTTATAAGCATGCGTATTTTTAAAAGAAAATATAATAGTTATACATGATATTTTATTCCATTTATTACTTTAGAAGTCAGCCTTATTTTATAGCTATATTGCTTAGTTGTTGTTTTATAGTTATTTTTATTATCTTCTCAAAATTTTTAGTAGATAAATACCCTAGTGCAATTAATATAATTTTACCTATTCTATAAATAATTATGGCTTTGATTTAAAGTGTTGATTATATATTTAGAGAAAACAATCCAGATAATTCTTATAATTCAAGCAATGATTGGTATTATGGATTTTGTGCTTGTTATTTTCATATAGGTAAATTTATCATTTAAAATAGCTATTTTTATTCAAGGATATGTATTATGGTCACAAACATTTATTGTAATAGGCTTATTGCTTTCATATATATTTTGGGCTTATAATTCTTCTTATATATATGTTAGTCTATTATTATGTTTTATTTCTGTAATTGTAGGAATGATTGCAATTAAATACAGTATAGAAAATAATAAAAGGCAATAGTTTCTACATAATCGAGAGAGAAAAAAATGGTTTGCGGTAAATTCATAAAATATATTTTTAGATAATTGATACAGTCTTAGAATCATCAATTTTAGTTATTAAATTGGATAAACAATAAGATTAGTTAAGAATACATTAAATGAACAATATTACTAAAGAAATTTTATAAATCCATAATGATAATGATTTAAGGACAACTTTAAGAAATGTAAACTATTTTTATGACTTATAAAGCTTACATATACAAGAGGATCAAAACTTTCTGGCTAAGATAATAAATGTACACTTGAAAAACACATTAGAATGATGTTACAAAGTAATTCGGCATCTGGTTCTGTATTCGAATTCAGAAAAAGAGGTTCATAAGATAAATTAATTAATTCATTAATTTGCTAATCTAATATACTTGAAAATTAATTTAAAGTTTAAATTGTAAATTATTGGACTGATGAATAATAAATGGTCATAATGGCTTCTGAATGTTTAAATAATTATTCCTAAAATCATGATAAATTAGAGTTGAATTTAAAAAACAGGCTCTTAACTTCTATTGCCCAACATTGTTTAAATGTTTATTTTAAACAAAAAGATGACAGATTTTCTTAATTATAATGCATGAATTACTTTGTATCTCTAAACATCCTATAGAATCCTCATATTTTAAATGGGGTTCAAGCTAAAAAATATAATTCAAATCAGGTTATAAAATTATTATAATCTGTCTTTGGAAATCAAATAACAATTATTAATAAATTAAAATTAGAAAATTTACATTTAGATTTAAATTCAGTTTTGCTGATATTCATTTCATTATTTTAATTTAGAGATAAAAATGAAGGCGTTATTAAGATATCATCTAAAATTAATGAAAAGAATATTGAATCTTTACATTTTACTTTGATTTAATCTACAAAACAAATGATTCCCTAAATTAGAGTTTACTTTACAAAACCTCTAAATTATTTTGATAAATAAGACAAATTTGCTAATATATCACATCTTCAAGCAAATTTATTACATTTAGATAAGAAGTTGAATTATTAAGATCCATTAAAAACTACAACTTTAATCATTATGAAATTTTTACTTTTGCATTTCGGTTGTAATTCATAAATTAAAACTAAATAAAAAAATAACTTAACTTATTTTAAATTTTCTTTGCTTAATTAATGATTATAAATTTATTTGTTTCATAACATTTATACTGTTTTAATTATATAATGATATAAGCTTAAATTAAAAATAATTTAAATGCTTGCTAATCTTGAAAGTAGAAATTATGAAAGAATGTTTCAAAATCAACATAAAATTAATAAATTATTATGCAGAATTTAAAAATAATAATAAATTAAAGAAATATATTATTAATACAGAAGATTGGTAGTTTAATTGGCAATTTAAATATAACATAATATAATCAATATTTTAAGTTAATATTAAATGTATTTAAGATCGTATAATTTTGTTAAAATTATAAAAATTTTCGAATATTGAATTAATATAAATTTTTATCATAAAATAAAGAGAATAGATAGATGATTTATCGAAGATATGAGTACTATTTCATTTATTGTAAAAATTTATTTAAATGCAATATAATAAAATAGAATGTCTTTCATCATTATAAAAATATTATTTATTTTTAAAGTATATAATAAATTTCATTCTCAATTCCTTGCCTTGAAATATTGTGGAATTACATAAGTATTAGGCTGATAGATTTGTTATGGTTGAACCTCATGAGCTGAATATCTATTCATTAAATTTTAGTGAACTGGCCTCGCTGCTTTTGCCGATTATTAATATGTTGATATTTTATCAATAATACTTGTATTAAAGCTTCTTTCTTTAGGTGATTATTCAATTATTGGTTATCTATAAATTTTAGGTGAGTAATCAATAATTTTTTAATAGTTGACTTAAGTGTCTTCTCTGACAACAGGCTATTTTTCTTCACTTTTTAATCTCACTTCCATAGTTGGCTTGTATATTGAAGGTTATTATTATTAAGATTGTAGATTAACTTATTTAAAACTAGTTTCTTAATATTTTAAGATCCTGTTTTCTAATTCATTAACATAATTATCTTTTTATCTTATTTAGTTTTTTATGATTTCTAATTCTTTTTTAAGATTTGATATTTCTTCTTCTTAAAATTTAATATGTTTTTGATAGTATTCATTTTTTTAAACAAAATGTTAACAATCATAACATTTTTAAGGATGCTATATTATATTTCTTTCTTAAAGAGGTTTGACTTCAGATTTGAAACCAAATGTAATTTCTTTTAAATTTTCATTTTTTCTATCTAATTATTATTATTAATTAATTATTTCCTATTTAAATTGTTCTTATCTTTTTTCCAATTTTATCAATTCTTATTTTAACTCATTTTTTAATTCATCTTCTTTGGCTGGTTATTTATAATCAGATTTTCTATCAATTTATTTTAGATCAACTCTGTTATCAGGAGTTCTAGATTCTGTTTTAATTTTTTATTCTGATTATCTAAGATCTAATTTGAGCTCTTATCGAACATCTTACTTATTATCAGATTTATAAAGTAAATCACTAAGTTTATAATCTTTTCCTTATTTGTTAGTATCAATTTTATTTGATTAGTATTCATTTGAAAATTATTAGGAAGAAGTGATCTAGTTATTAAACTATGAGATATTTGTAACTTATTAAGATTATCTAAGAGCAGAAGGAGGAATTTATGAAGATTTCATAGCACTACTTGGTTAATAAGAAACTGATTATGCTAATTAATGAGTCTGTCTTATTTCATTATTTTATTTATAACTTGGTCTTGATTTATAATCCTATTCTGATGATTATGATACATAAGAACCTTAATCAACAGGCATTTGTTAGATAGTTTTTTATATTTCTTGATTATGAGAATAGACAAAAACAATATTAGGACCTGCACATATTTATCCATCAACCAAATTGACTTTGCTTAATTAAATTCTATGTGTTTATTATTATGAATAGTTTTCAGGCATTTTATTCATTCCAAATACATACCATCCATCTTAACATTTTAACATAGCAAAATTTTCTCCAGAAATGACTTGAGATACTCTTTATCCTTCATCTAATTTACATAAATCTTCCAATGAAGTACATTTTCTAGCATAACCCCAACTTCCAGTTCCCCAAAAATATACTTTACCTTATTTACTTATTGCACAACTAAATGTACCCATAGATGCAATAACTTATTATACATCAAAATTTAATTATAATTTAACTGGTTCTCTAACTACTTAATCAGATACTCCACATTATCCAAATAAATTATTTCCTGTTACAAAAACCTTAAATTAAAAACTTGATATATACTTGTCCTTTATGTAAAAATAAAGAATGATCTAAACCTGCTGCCATTTACTCAACAGATATATTCAATCTCACAGGTGTTTAATGTTATCCTAATACTCCTAATTATCCATTTTAATTTTCTCCCATAGCATAACAAGTTTCTCCATTTCTTACAAGTGTATGAAAACTTCCACAACATACTTCTTAACCTTAAATATTAAGTTCTGTTGGTTTTTCTAAATTTTCAGTATCTCCTAATCCTAATTAACCTTCTGTTCCTCTTCCCCAAACATATATTCTATTATCTTTAGTAACTGCTACAGAATGATATAGACCTACTGCTATCTGTAGAACATTCTTCATTACTAATTAAAATCCTGGTCCTGTTGAACCTCTTTATCCAAATTAATTTGATCCATAACTATATACATTTCCATCTTATGTTAAAGCTAATATGTGAGATTGACCTGCACATATTTATTTGACGTAACCTGGAATTGTTAATTAAGTTGTTTCATTGAAATTCGGTACATTCCTAGGTGTTCTTAATGTTAATGATCCTGCACTCTCGAAAAGATCAGAGTCTTCATGATTTATTATACCATAGATTGTTATTTTTGAAGACATTAACGGAATGTTAAATATTTTATATAAATATTAATTATTATGGAAGATTAAAAGGCTAGAAAAATATAAAAGTAAACTTAATTATTCTATTTTAGAGCATGGAGATCATTTACCAATAAAAAAATATTCCAATACTATAAAGACATTATTTTATTTAAATGCAAGTACCCTATAATGTTAATATTAGAGGAAACCCTGCTAGATTATTGAAAGCTATTAATCCAAATGAAGCTCAACTATTAGATGCAGCCTGTAAATCACATATACGATTTAGACTTGGAGGAGAAGTATATTACTTTTTTAAACTTTTTAGCAATTTCCTCCTATTATATATTATAAAATATATAGTCATGGAGGAATTGTAGATCTTAATGCATTTGCTCCTAGAGATTATTCATCTTTATAAAGAGATCCAATTCCACATGAGAAAGTTGCATATTCAGAATATAAGAAAAATCAATAAAAATATGATAATCAAGGATGGTATCTAAGATTAGATAATAATGGATGGAGACCAGTTATTATTTATATTTACATTATTATAGATCTCAAACAAATAAATGATTAAAGCAGATTTTGTAGAATTATACACTGCCAACAAAATTCGATATTATCATCATAAAAAAGACAAAAGAGAAGAAAAAGTTAATAAAAAAACAAGACTCAACAAATTGAAATGGGCGCAAAGCATTTAAAAATAAAAAGAAGGAACTCAATAATTTAAACAAGTTTAATAATCATAAGATTTTTTTACTCAAACTAAATAATATTTAGAAATGGATGATGTATTATTTCTATTTATTTCTTTAGGATGAATTTGATAAAGAAGTCTAAAATCTAATTGATTGGAGTGAAAATTTAGATTATGATAAATATATGGCAGACTGGTTTTAATTATCTACCTCTAATGCAAGCGAAAATTATGTTGTTTAGTAAATCCATGTATTTTTAATATTACTATTTTTAGTAAACTAAAATTGATTCAGTCTTTAAAGGAACTTGAAAACTTGAAAATATTCTCAATAAATTAGTTCATAAAATTATTTTTTCTTTGTTCTTTATTCCGAAGTTAATTGTAACTTGATTGTCTTTTCAAATTTTTATCATAATGATTAGTATTCTAATTTTGAAATATCTCTTTTAATTCTTTTTATTCTTTCAATTTATCTGAACATAAATTTTAAATTTCTTCACAATTCTTAAGTCGTTTCAATGGAGAAGTTTAAAATTTCATTTTTTGAATCCTTATCCCTTAGTAAAATGAACTTTATATATGGTAACAGTTTTAACTCTTCTAAGTTAACTTATATGCTTTTTGTTATTTTTCATTTTTATACAATTTTTATATAGATGATATTAGTTATAGTTTTCTAATTTTTAGGAGATAGGCTATTAATTGTTTCAAATTTATAAGAGACCTTAATCTATTGTTTTTTATATAGTTCCTACTCTATATCGAGATAATTTTAAATTCAAATAAATTAATTATAATTTAAATGAAAAAAGGTATCTTTAAATTAGAGTGATATATGATTATTTTAATTCAAAATGAAAATATCAAAAAATTACAAGGATTATAAGAAGTTATTAAATTATCTTAGAAAGGGATACATTAAAAAATATTATAAACTTAAGCGATAAACATTAATGCGTTAAAGAAATTTACTGATTGAAAAGTTATTTAGAAAAAAAAATTAGAGTTTTTAAGGTAATTTTTAATAAATTTAATTAAAAAAAATAAAAAATGGAGAAATAGCATCTTAAGAAATTTTTTGTTTTTTTTTTCATTTTAAGATAAAATTCCAATTTTTTGTTTTTATTCTTTTATAGTTAAACTGTGAAAACTAAAATTTGATTTGACTGATTAATTCTTATTAATTTAATTCTTTTGCCATATTTCCATCTTTTAGTATAATTAAATAAAAGATATTTGAAGTGTTAGAAGATTAAGAAATCTTAAAAATATTATATTTGAAAATTAAATAATATTAATCAGAAGATATTTAGATAAAATTAATGAGAAATTTATAATTTAGTGTCAAGACTATATGCAAATAAATAATTTAAGAAATAAATAATATAATAATTTTTTAACTAAATGACCTAGCAATATTCATGATGTTAATTTGATCAGTGTGGGTAAACGATCCCATTTTATTTCTGAGCAAACTAAATTTTCGTCAAATATAAATTTAAAGTGAGGAAAATATGAAGATTCATCAATTCTATTGAGATAAGATTAAATGTTACGTTTTAATGACATTAAATTATTCTTCTAAATTTTTGTTAATAAACAAATTTTATGGATTAAGCAATTGGACCATTTCATTATAACTAATATTAATTTATCGAACTGTCTTTTTAGATATAACATGGCTTTTCTTTTTTTTTCTAGCCTGTCCTTCTGAAGAATCATTTGTTGATAGAGATCCCAAAGAATCATTCATGTATTTAACAGTTAGATATATAATAAAAATATTAATCAAATTAAAAGTCTCAAATAAAACAAGCTATCGTTTAAATAAAATCAACTCATACTTCATCTCCAATTTTCGTTATTTATTTCAATTTTTCTCTTGTTTTTTTAACCCTAAAAATATTAAATAATTAAATACTTTATTCTTCAATAGCATGAAACAATTCTTTATATATCCCTATAATCTCTCTTGCCAAAACAATTATTAATAAAGGGCATTTATGGGAAAAGACTAATACACAATAATTATTAAATTCCGAGAAATAAGTCATATGATATAGATTATCTATGAAATAATTTTTAATATTTGTGATATTTCAAAAGTTGAAAGTCCTTTTTATGTATATTTATAGATATTTGGACTATTCTTAGCAATTTCTAGTTAAATAAATTTTTCTAGTCTTATTACTCTATTATTTTATTTCTATGTCTGTTTTAGGTCAAATGATTATGGAATCTTCAAAAAGAATTCTAAAATTCTTTGCCAAAATTTAAATAAATTTATTCTTTTTAGAGTTTCTATTTCTATATAAGAAAATTTAACTAAAAAATTAGTCTAATAAATTTTATAATGAATAATTTAACAACAATTTGTTCAGGAATTAAAAATTTTATATAAAATAAATTCAAAATGCAAATAGATGAATTGCCGGTTGGATAATAAAAAAAGAATTTTATGTTAGAGGAGTTCCCCCCAGGTAATTTAATTATTAAACTAATAGATTTTGATCCTTAATAATAAGAAAAAGTTGATTTACCCTTAAAATAAAGAATTAAATCAAAAGTTTGGAAAGTAAGGCTTTAAGCTTATGAAGAATTAGTGAACGATGAAGAACTTGATTGTGAATGTCTAATATCTATAATTTAAGATAATCATGTTTAATGTTAAGAGAAAGCGCTTTAGATAGCATTAAAATATTTTGAAAATCACAACTAATTAGAGTCTTCATAATAAAAAGAAATAATAAAAGTTTTATTAGAAAAAGTGTTAACACAATAAAAATTAAAATAACTAGGTCATTAGGTAACAGTCTAACTTTTTCCTACATGTAAATCAGCTATTTTTGAAGTCATTATTTTATAAATGATGCATAAAAATCCAAAAGTTGTTTAAGCAACAATTGCTTTATTAACAGAATTATTATAATAATATGGTCTAAAAAAATTAGACAACTTAAAACCATTTTTTCCTGTAATGTCTAAATTAACAGAAGCTTAATAAAGCACTGTTAAAGCTGATGCTATAGCATTTTACAAAGAAGTAACAAGATGGTATGGAAAAAATATAGAAGCATTTTTTGGAGGTTTAAATGATAAATTGTAACAAGATTTGAAAAAATTAGCTGAAACTATAACAGAAGTTTAAAAAGCACCAAATTAAGAAGCAGATGCTGATACTAATAATTAAGAATTATATGATTTAGTTGAAGCTGTTGAAGTTTTTTAAAAATATACAGATTCTTGGTGTGAAAAAGTATTTTAAATAGAAAAATGGTAAGAAAAAAAAGAGTAATTAGACAATCTATAGAAATCATGTTCGGTTCCTAAAATATTACCATCTCCAAATATATATTCAGTTGTATAATTATTAAAAAAATTATTGAATGAATAATAAATGATTATAAGTACCTAATGTATCAAAATAATTGGATGTATGGCTAATGGTTTAAGAAAAAACTTTAATTAATATGCTAAAATAATCATGCTTCCAGTTTTAACTAAATTAAAAGATAAAAAATAAAATATTGTTGACGAGACTATTGCAACTATTAAAAAACTCTTTTATAGTTGCAATCTTGATGAATTATTTGAAGAACTAAAAGCTTTGTTAGAAGACAAAGCTCCAGGTCCAAAAGTTAATGTTTTTATTATTATTGAGCATTATTTAGATGAGACATCACGGGATAAATTGAATAAACTTTAATGTATTAAATAATTGATTCCAATTTGTAAGAAATTTTCAGATGATGGTAATGCAGATGTAAGAACTAAATCAGTCATGTTATTGGCTAAAATTTCAGCTAAATTATTTAGTGGGGCGATGGCAACAGATTTAAAAGGTGATAAATATATTAAATATTAAAACTAAGTAAATATATATATGGAAGGTATTAAAGCAATTTCAGGAAAAGATTTTCTATAACCATTATAATAGTTATAATTACAATAATAATAATAACAACAACAATAATAATAATAACAACAATAATTACAACAACAATAATAATAATAATAATAATAATAATAATAATAATAATAATAATAATAATAATAATAATAACAATAATAATAATAATAATTACTTAATAAAGAAAATTTATAATTATAATAAGCTACCACAATTACTCCTAATTCATCAAAATAATAATTTTTATAAACTAATTTAAATAAACCTCTTTAAATAAATTAATTAAATACCCTTGATATCTAAGAGTTATAATATTCATCAACAATGACACCTAATTAAGTAGATGTTTTTTTAAAACAATACAAATCTGCAAAAAATAAAGACTAAAATGAATTAGGAAATATTTTATTATAAATTACTTAATAATCAAAATATATTTTAAGTGTCACTATGGAATTTATAATAGATAAAATGGCAGAGCAAAAATCTTTATGTTATTAATTATTTGATAAATGTGCTCAGATATATAAACCTAATCATCTAACCCAGCTAATAACAACCTTTAAAAATGCTTCAACTCAAAGTTAACTTATAGAAGTTCTAAATATTTTATTAAAATACATTCCCTAAAGTGAAAAAAATATAGACTAATAAATTATTTAAGAATTTCTTAAGAATTATTAGCATTTGTCTAATCTGAAAACAAGATCCTTAGTTTAAGAATGTCAGTTAGCATTAAAGTCATTATTTGACATTAAAAAAATCTAATCATAAGAAAAACCAACATTGCCTTTTCCTTTAAACACATTTAGTGATTAGCATTTTGAAAGAATTAAGGAATAATTAAGAGTTCCTTAAATTCCTTAAAATTTATATGAAAAAATGTTTAGCTATAACATATAATAAAATTAACTAGCAGCTTCTTATATCAAAACAAAAATGACTTTACCTGATGAATTTAGTGAAATTATTTTTAAATGGGCATATCTAATTTCTTGGATGAAGGAAAATATTCCTTTCTAATAAGAAATATCATAATTATTCTAGATGTTAATAACTTAACATAAACCTACATTTGTTGAATAACAAATAATCTTTTCTTATATTAAAATGATGATTTTAGTATATTTTAGGAATGGAGTATCAAAATTAGCTTAAAGAACACTACCTTTATTAATGAACTTATTAAGTGAATACAAAAAATATTGTATATAATAACCATTATTGATTGCATTTGAAGATTTTGATGAATTATCTAATTCTTAAGCAAATTAATTGATCTAAATTATGTTGGATAATGCAAGTGATTGGAGTATAAGTAATACTTTATAGTAAAAGTAACTTATTGCTTAGTTGATATCTTTTATTTGGAAAGAAGAGAGTGTTATTATTAATAAATAAATTGTTTAAACTACTCCTCAATAATTTTAGCATTCTGCTATAATTTAGAAACCTTAAAACAATGAAAATCCTTCATACGAAGATCAAATGTCTATGTAAAATTTTTAAAGGTTTAATACAGCATTTGTAATAGAACAATAAAAAACTGAATAAACAAATTCAGAAAAAAAGAATTTTCAAGCTAAAAACATAAATTTTAATGGAATGCCTTAAATCAACTCATAAATGAATAGTGGAAATAAAAATCAGTTTCAATAGCCACAAAATATTCCAAATTAAATGGAAATTGAAATAGATTAGAATGTTACAATATTTTAATAGATGTATTATAAGTTTAGAGAAACAAATACTTTTGAGAATCCTTAATTTTTGGCAGATTAAATTATACTTTTATTAAACAATTTTATAAAGGAATAATCATATGATAAACTTAATTAAATATTAGAAAAACTTTTGCATATACTATCATCAGGTTAATTTTTGAAATATATATCGTATGATAAATTTTATACCATTTTTGATATGTTAATTTTTAAAATGGTCGAAGAATCAACTAAGTCAATTAACAAAGAAGGAGCTCAAAAAAGTTGTTATAACTTTATTAATTAAAATTTAATAAAGATCTTAAATAATTAAGAATTATCTAATTTATATATAGCTTTTTTAGACATATTAATAAAAGTAAAAGAATCAGGAAAACAAACGAAATAATTTTATACATTAATAACAAAATGTTTGAGTAAATCAGTAGGATAAGTAAAAAGTTAATTTTAATGGCAATAATTACAAGTAATTTTAGAAAAGATTAATAAATATTTAATTTTATGTTCAAAATCTGAAGCAAATTAAGAGTTTTAAGAGTCTCATGAATTCTTATTAAAAGCACTAAAATCTACAGTTATATATCTTTTACATTTTAATGATGGAACTAGAGTCAGTTAATGTATAATGTAATTAACAAATGAAAAATCAATTTTAAGATAATGGTTGTTAGAATTATAAGAGAATAATTTAGCAAAATAAAGGAGATCAAGAGATACACATATAAATTAAATTATAGAATTACTTAAAATAGATTTTGATAAGAGTGTAGAACAATTTGTTTCAATAGTCAGAAGATAAAATATTAATTGGAAACCTTTGGTTGAATTTTTGAGTTAATAATAAATAAAATTTATAGAATTAAGATTAGATCAGACTACTCATATGAATTTATTGGAGAAAAAAGTAGGAGAATTAGAGAAGATGCTAAATTAATGAAAATTAAGAAAATAATTAATTTATAATTATTACCCGTTTTTATATAATATATAATTATTAATATTCATAAATGAATAAATTCATAATTGTTGGACTTTTAGCTTTGGTTTGTACACAAGCCTTTGAAATAGATTTTTCCCTATTATTATAGGTAATGAATATGAATAAAAAGGTTAGACAGGAGCAGAATCTAATGATGCAGTCTAGGCAGTATATGATTTATTGAATGATTTGAAAACAAGTAACATTGAAGCCTAAGGTGTTGCCGATGAAAAAAATATTTCAGATGAAGAGATTGGATAAGCTAGAATAGCTGCTCTTTCAAAAGTGAACGAATTAAATTAAAAAGCATGGGCTAGTGCAAAAGCAAGAAGAGAATAAATAGGAATTGAATATAGAGTAATATTATAAAATAATATATTGTTTAGGAAGCAACAGATTATATAGCATGGGCAACTTAAAGATTAGCTGATATTGATAGAAGATCAATTGAATTATAAGAATTGAGATGCTTTTCAAATGGTTTATTTGTTAGAGCTATTAAATAACATAATGATGCTTTAGGAGTTATTAGAGTATTAAAGAATGATTTAAGTGGATATTTAACTGGTTAACCAACATCTATGGTTGAAATTAATGTTCAAAATGTTTCAGATAAATTGAAATAATATAGTCAATTATTTAATTAAGATGCTATGACTAAATTTGCATAATTGGCTGCTGAATAAGCTTCAGGAAATGCTGAATTACATGCATTAGGATAAGAAAATGGATCATCATCATCTGATAGATAACCAGGTCTTAATGTTGGTTAAATGGTTTATAATGCTTTATCTGATTTAGAAGATTAATTAAGATCATCTTTAGCTAATTTAGAAGCTAATGAAATTGCTGCTTATTATTAATTAGCTGATTGGTTAGCAGATACTGAATCTGAAGTTGCTCATCTTAATGATGAAATCTAAAGAAAAACATAATTATAAGATAAATTAGTAGTGGTAATCTATTAAGTATTATTCTTTAGTAAGAATAAGCTGCATTAGCTGTTTAAGCTAAAGCAAATAGTGTCTTAAAAGATTCTTAAAATGCTATTAATGCTGCAACTGCTTCATTATAAGAACTTAGAGACTTATATGAAACTGAATTAAATAGAAGAAATGGTATTTATCTTATAAATTAATTTAGAGGAAAATGCAATCATAGACGAAGTTATTCATATTTTCAAATAGTAAGTTTTAGAAATGGCCAATTAAACTTCATATGGAAAGAAATGATTAAGATTGTTATCTTTAAATAATAATATTTTTTTTCTTTTTATTTAATTTTTGAAAACAAAAAAAATAATCAAATATCAATTTCAACTTAAATAAATTGAATTTGATAATTCTAATAAGGAACTTAAATTTTTCATTTCATATTATTCCCTTTAATAAAAAGAATTATATTTTTATGATATTATTCAAACATTTTAACTTATACTAAACAAATAAGGAAAATTAATATTATTATAAATAATTTAAGTTTTTTTACTTTTTGATATCCATCTAATATGAACATTTTTGATACTAAAGCTAATTCTGAAGGTTTTTTTTCTAAATATGGAAGATTAACTTCATAAAAATTTTATATTTTGAGAAAGCCTAAAGTGATTTTAAAATAAAAAGTGCATTAAGAAGATAATTCATTATTTGTTGAGGAGTTCCCTTAAGAAAGCCCTAAAAATAAATTAATTATTGATAAAAACCTATTTCCGATTTACTAACCAAAAAAAAATATTCTAAAAAATTTATCAAAAACCCTTCAATTTCAAACACCATTAAGATCTAGATCCCTTTAATTTACCAAAAAAAAATCACTTTAGAATTCAGAAAGTCTCAGTTGTAGCAAGTTATCTAAGAACTTCAGAGATTAATCAATTGAATAAAAAAAAAAATAAATAAACTATAGCAGAATATAAGGAGAAATAGAACAACTATAAAATTTTTGATTTTATTTTATTTATTATAAAAATTAATAATAGCTGTTACAATGTTTTATCCATATAATTTATCAGTTCATAATTCGAAGTGAATTTCGAAGTGAAAAAACACAATTATTTTAATCAATTATGAAAACTTCAGGTAATAAAGAAAATATATTACCTAAACAATATAAGAACCCTTCTTCTCAAAATATTCTATAAACTAACCAAAATAACAATCTTAAAGGAAGCTCTAGACAAAATACAACCCGTAATAATTTTTATCAATTTAGCTTCTAAATAAAAGAGCTTTAATAATTAGATTGAAGCAAAAATTTAAAAAAGATCAATATCTTTTATTGAGGAAAATTTATTAAAATAGAATAAAGAATAAAATATTGTTAGTTAGATAAAAAATGACAAAGATTAAAATTAATCAGATGATGAATTATCCTAGGATTCCTTTAATATTTGGCAGGAAGAATGTAAATGTGAAGATTTATTTGATTTATTTTAATTTAGATTTACTAACACCTATAAAACAATAGATCAATTGTAAAATAATACAATGAATATGATAAAAAGTTACAAAAAGCTTTTTGGATATAGTATTTTTAGAACAAATATTGGAAAAAATCCATTTTATCATATGCCAAGAAGAATGAATTCACTTAAATATTTTAATGAATAGAAGTAGAATACAAGATACTCAAAGCTATCTGCAAAATTCAAAATATAAGAGAGCAAGTTACCTTTTGGAAAGAATTCCTTCTTGTATAATTAAATAACAATTTAAAATATTAAAGACAAAAAATGATGATTATATATACTAATTACAATTGTTACTTAAGTTAGATTTTAATAAATTTAGAAGCAAAAATATTAATTAGGGAGTATAGCTCAGTAGCAGAGCAGCAGACTGCAGATCTGTAGGTCTCAGGTGCGAACCCTGATGCTCCCTTCTTTTTTTTATTTATAAAAGTTTATTAATTAAATTATTGTATTTAAATTGATTATATAAGGAAATTATAAATTATAATATAATATAATATATTTAGTTATAAGAATTTATGTGAAAAAAATCATAAATTAATCAACTAATTATTAAAGAAGATGAAAATTTACAAGATTATATATATTTTTAAAGCTTTGGGGAATCTATTATTGTAATATTGTATAAATTTGAAAATAAGAGATTTATTTATAAAAATAGATTAAATGTCATGGCAAATTTGAAAATTTCCCTCCAATAACAAAGAAGAGTCATTCATTAAATAAATAAAATAAGAATAATATTAAATAATGAATGTCTAGGGAAAAGGTTTATTTGAGAATTTAAGAAATTGTGCAACTAAAATAAATGAAAGAAAGCTATAAAAAATGAGGATGGAATAATAAATTATAAAATAATTTGTGTAAATTAGCTTTATAACTTTCATAATGCGTTATGAATTTGAATTTTGAAAAAAATAATTTATAATATTAAATAATACAAATTATTATAAATCAAGTTGAATCGTTTTTATATATTATGTAAAGTATTGGGTTTTGTTCGTCAATAAATTAATGATGGCATATTAAACTACGGAGTATTAGCTATAATAAAGCTTGGAGAAATTGATTGTAAGCATTTAATCTTTAATTGATCGAGATGTGTGGGATATTGGCGATTTTAAATATAAGAGGGACAGAAGTAGAAGTAAGAGCAAGAGCATATGAACTTTCTAGAAGAATAAGACATAGAGGTCCAGACAGATCAAAGATTATAGTTCTTGTAATGAAAATTTAGTAATATTTAGGAAGTGAGTTCAGGGTTATATCATGTGATTTCTCATGAAAGATTAGGATTAGTTGATTTAAGTGATAAAGGAAGACAACCATTTTAAATGATAGATGATGAGAACATATTCTATATGTAAAATGGTGAGCTATATGATTACTGGGATTTAAGACCAGAATTAGAGAAGAAATACAGATTTAGCAGTAATTCAGATACAGAGATAGTCGGAATGTTATATAAAGAAGTATGATTATCTATATAGAATATAGTATGGTGCAGGAAACTTCTGGAACTATCTTAATGGAATGTTTGCTACAGTTCTTATAGATATGAATACAAAATCATTTTAAGCAGGAAGAGATCATATTGGAATAATTCCTCTATATTATGGTTTTAATCAAGATGGATCACTATTTTTATCATCAGAGTTAAAAGGAATTCATGATTAAGTTATTGAAGTTAAATAGTTCCCTCCAGGTAAATAAAAATAATAGTATTTTAGGACATTATATTGATGAAACCTACACGATCAAAAGATGGTATAATCCAAGTTGGCATAACTTTGATCTAATTCCAACAGGAGAGATCAATTTTGAAGAATTGAGAGATAGATTTATAGAAGTAGTTAGAAGAGAAGTTCAAGGAGATGCTCCATTTGGACTTTTTATTTCAGGAGGGTATCAATATAAATAAACATTTTATAGTGTTGATTCTTCTATTGTTGCTGGTATTGTTGCCAAATTAATAAAGAAAGGAGATATAGATTTGAGTAAAAGAGGAATGAGAAAAGTTCATTCTTTTTGTATTGGATTGGAAGGATCTCCAGATTTACATTTCGCTAAAAAAGTAGCTGAGTTTCATGGATTTGAACATCATTCATTCACTTATACTGTTGATGAAGGATTAGATTACATTCCTGAAGTTATTTATCATACAGAAACATTCAATAATACAACCATTAGAGCATCAACACCTATGTACATGATGTGTAGAAGAATTAAGGCATTGGGAATCAAAATATGTTTAACAGGTGAAGGTAGTGATGAATTATTTGGTGGATATTTATATTTTCATAAGGCACCTAATAGAGTAGAGTTTCATTAAGAATTGATAAGGAAACTTCATGATCTTCATAAATATGATTTACTAAGAGCAAATAAAGCATGTTTGGCTTGGGGAATCGAAACTAGGCCTCCATTTATGAATAAATAATGGATTGAATATGTTATGCAAATTGATCCTAAATATAAAATGATCAATGCCTTTGAACCTCAAATGGAAAAATTCATTCTTAGAAAAGCATTTGAGGATTTAGAACATCCTTTTGTTCCATAAGATATCTTATGGAGATAAAAAGAACAATTCAGCGATGGAGTGGGATATAGTTGGAGAGATGGTATTATAAAGAGAGCTAATCAATTAATCTCTGATTAAGAGTTCTCTTAAGCATCAACCAAATATCCAGTTTCAACTCCAAGAGACAAAGAATAATATTGGTTTAGATAGATATATTCTTCATATTTCACCAGTGAAAGTGCTGTCTTAACTGTTCCATATGCCAGATCTATTGCTTGTTCAACCGAAAAAGTAATCAATTTTTATTTATCTTTAGGCATTAGAATGGGATGAGGCATTTAAGAAAAATACAGATGAATCAGGTAGAGCTGTATTAGCTGTTCATAATGACGCTATTAAGGAAATCATCTAACAAGATGAGGACCGTTCAACTGAAGATATTTCCAAAGCACAAGAGCATTTCTAATTATGAGAATAATTACATGTAATCATATTCAAAATAATAATTTTTTTATTTATTATCTGTTATTATATAAATAAATTAAATGAATAATCAATTTTAATTCCTTTCTGAAATATTTCGATAATGGAGATAAATCACTAAAAAATAAATCAATTAGAGGTATTGATTGACACAACAATCTAGATAATCTTTGATGTCTATAATGTATTCAAAAGACCTAAATTTATTAAAAAATGCATTTTATAGTTGGACTCAATTTTGGAATGGTTCAAAAAATTATAAATACAAAAGAGACCTATTTTACAAAAAATTATTGATCTTCAATTATAAATACCTGCTCAAAAAATATTTCAATGGATTTATATAAAATAGTTAAAGATTAGTTACTTTGCATTATTAAAAAGAAATGGCTAACAACTTTAGATCTTAAAAAATTTAATACCTCAAACATTAAACTCTTAAAGCATTTTAAAAAAATGTTACTATTANTAGTGATGAATTATTTGGTGGATATTTATATTTTCATAAGGCACCTAATAGAGTAGAGTTTCATTAAGAATTGATAAGGAAACTTCATGATCTTCATAAATATGATTTACTAAGAGCAAATAAAGCATGTTTGGCTTGGGGAATCGAAACTAGGCCTCCATTTATGAATAAATAATGGATTGAATATGTTATGCAAATTGATCCTAAATATAAAATGATCAATGCCTTTGAACCTCAAATGGAAAAATTCATTCTTAGAAAAGCATTTGAGGATTTAGAACATCCTTTTGTTCCATAAGATATCTTATGGAGATAAAAAGAACAATTCAGCGATGGAGTGGGATATAGTTGGAGAGATGGTATTATAAAGAGAGCTAATCAATTAATCTCTGATTAAGAGTTCTCTTAAGCATCAACCAAATATCCAGTTTCAACTCCAAGAGACAAAGAATAATATTGGTTTAGATAGATATATTCTTCATATTTCACCAGTGAAAGTGCTGTCTTAACTGTTCCATATGCCAGATCTATTGCTTGTTCAACCGAAAAAGTAATCAATTTTTATTTATCTTTAGGCATTAGAATGGGATGAGGCATTTAAGAAAAATACAGATGAATCAGGTAGAGCTGTATTAGCTGTTCATAATGACGCTATTAAGGAAATCATCTAACAAGATGAGGACCGTTCAACTGAAGATATTTCCAAAGCACAAGAGCATTTCTAATTATGAGAATAATTACATGTAATCATATTCAAAATAATAATTTTTTTATTTATTATCTGTTATTATATAAATAAATTAAATGAATAATCAATTTTAATTCCTTTCTGAAATATTTCGATAATGGAGATAAATCACTAAAAAATAAATCAATTAGAGGTATTGATTGACACAACAATCTAGATAATCTTTGATGTCTATAATGTATTCAAAAGACCTAAATTTATTAAAAAATGCATTTTATAGTTGGACTCAATTTTGGAATGGTTCAAAAAATTATAAATACAAAAGAGACCTATTTTACAAAAAATTATTGATCTTCAATTATAAATACCTGCTCAAAAAATATTTCAATGGATTTATATAAAATAGTTAAAGATTAGTTACTTTGCATTATTAAAAAGAAATGGCTAACAACTTTAGATCTTAAAAAATTTAATACCTCAAACATTAAACTCTTAAAGCATTTTAAAAAAATGTTACTATTAGTTAGAATATTAAATAAATTTAAAAAAGAAGTCTTTAATTTTATTTCAAATTTTGGACCTCTGAAGCTCGAAAACTCTAATTAAAAAGTAAAATCAATAAAGAAAATGGAAATCTCAATAATGTCGAGTAGTGGATTTAATAAAAAAGATAAAACAGAATACAACCTAAAATTTATCAAGAATCTCATGATTAATAACTTAACCCTTCTGAATAAAATCCAAAAAACTAATAGATTGAATAAATAGTATAAAAATAGATAACACAAAAATAAGAATTAATAAGAGACGATTAAAAAGCTTATATTCCAGATTAAATAAATTTATTTTAGTCTGTTAATGAATTAAATGAATATTTACAATTAAAAATGATGGAATATGAATATTATACAAGTTTACCAGAAAAGAATGTCAATATTATTAAACAAGTAAAGATGGAAATAAAATTGACATTAGGAAAAATACAAGAACTCAGAGAGTAATAATGATTAATTAACTATTTATTTATAAAAATTTTAATTTGCGAATGTTTGTGAAAGAATTATTATAAGTTTAGGAATATGTTGAGAAAAAAAAGTCTGCTGGAAAATAAGTATCTTTAAAACCTCTAATTGATATTTGTGTACATAAATATTAAAAAGAGGAAGTTTAAGAAGCATTAAATTAAGCATTAACAAATGAACTTAAGTCTGAATGGATATCTTAACCAAATATTGAAATCTTAATATTGTGTTATAAAAGATTAAAATGTGAAGTTTAAATGGAATTAATTGAAAGAACCTTTGAAATTTCAATTGACAATTTATAAAGTAATTAGATTATAGATTTTTAGCCACAAAAAGAATTCTTTCTATTTGCAATGACGAACAATTAAGAAATTTATGTTCAAAATATATTTCTACTAAAGGTTATATAGAGAAAATAGTATAACCTATTTATGAAAGTCTATTGAATGTAAATGATCAAACGATGAATATAGTTGAAAAAGTAAAAAAATTATACAAGAATTTGTTTTCTTTGTTAAAAGTACAAAAAGAATGGGTTTTAGAAAGAGCTATGGAATTTGTTTTGTTTTCAGAAGATATTTATACAGAAAAAAGTTAAAAATTTGTTGCATAATAATTTTAAGAAATTAGATCAATTATCTATGCATTTATTATAAATGATGATGAAATTAGATTAAGTTTTGTAAAATATTTACCTTAGATCTTTTAATAACATAATCCAAAGAATATAGATTTCAAATTACATTGTAGTGAATTAATAAAAATAGCTTTATTTAGTAAAAATGTGAAATAATTAATGGTTTATGAATAATTTTGGTAAGCCCTTCATGATTCATTTCAAGTATATTCTGATTTAACTAATAATAAAATATGCGTAGCTGTTTTAAATGAAGTTTTGTTTAATATAAATGATATAAAAATACAACAACATTTCAAATTATTCACAGATTTATTTATCACTTTAGACAGCTTTGGTACTCATTTAACAAAAGATGTTTGGGTAAAAATGGATGTATTTACCCAAAAATAATAATTTAAAGTAGATGATGAATTGAAAAAATAATTGTTCCAATAGATTAAACCTTTATTCATACTCATTAATAAGGCTGCATAACACACAAATGAAAAAACAATCAAAAATTGTATTAAATCCTTATTTAAAAAATAAATTGATGTTGAATATTTAAAACCTTTGATTATAGAGATAATAATACCAGTTTTAAATAAACCAGTATTTTATCTTGATACTCCTTTAGAAGGAGACTCTAAATTTTTTGAGCTTCTGAAACAATTCTTAGTAAAGATCCCTTATATTGATGATATTATTATATAAATGGTTTAGCATATTTAATATCCATTGGCTGTTGGAGCTTTCAGTGTGGCTTTGAAAGATATTAAAGTTGAGATTTCATAATTTTCATTACTTATTTAATTTATTGAATAAAATTTGATGAAATTAAATTTAAGAAAAAGAATATAATTATTATAAGCTGTGCTTTAATTGTTTAAATAGAACACTAATCCAGAGATCTTATTTAATCTTATCAAAGTTATACCTTTTGATTGTCTTTTTTTAAATAACATAGGAGAACTTTTAAAATAATTAATGAATGAAGATTTTTTAATTTATGTCTAAGAATAACAATAAGTATTTGATATTAATTCAAATTATCACCAATTTGCAATAATATATCACTTAACATAAGATATTAAGCTATTCATAACCTTTTATCAACCCATCATTTCTCAACTATAATAAATATACACAAGTACTTATACTCAAAAGGAAATGAAACATAAAATATTAGAGTAATTAAATTATATTTTAAAAACATCAAATCAAGTTTAGTTTTTAGAGTAAATAAGTTCAGGGTTATTTGCTTATTTAACTTTGGATTTAGATGGAGCAATGATTGTGACTGAAGAACTTTGGATATCTTCATTATAACATTTTGAAACAGTTCCATTATTAACATAATAGATGAGTAAATTTGTAGGGTATTTATTTTAGTAATTATTTGATAATTTCAATATCATTTATTTAGAATTGATAATAAAAACTTTAAGAGCAACAAACATTGCATTATAATAAGCAAAGAGAAATAAAAGTGGTTTCTTTGTTGAAGAATTATTCTTAAAATATGGATTATAATTGTTAAATAAATTGCAAAGTATTGAGCAAGATAGACAATTAAAAAACTTAACATTACATTATTTAAGCTAAATCTTAACATTGTTGAGAGAAGTAAATCATAAACCCTAGGAATATTATATTTAAATATAGAATTTAATTAAAAACATAATTGATATAACTGATTAATTTAATGCTTATGATTCAATAACTTTATATTAATTATTAAGATCAGTATATGGTCCAGAAATAACCTTCAATAGAGAATAGAGTGAGCAATTTAAGTAAGTAGCAATAAATACATTTGAATAGATGATGCATGTTTTCGGAACTCATACAAATTTAGAGGAAATATTAGCATATATAGATTTTATAATAGATCCATGTTATTTTGAAGGAGAATTATATGAGACAGTTGAGTAAATAATAAGAGTAATAATGAAATAGCACTAAAAATAATGGGTAATATAGAGAAAGATAGCAAATAACTTAATTATATGTTTGAATAAACATCCTAATAGATTACCTACATTTTATTATATTTTATTTAAGTTAATAAAGGGAAGTGAATTAAGAGGTTATGATTCTAGTGAAATATTGTCATCATCAGAATAGTATGTTCCATTAGCAAATGATGTTAAACATTTGATATCATGCAAAGGTGAATTTTATGGGGCATATCCAAGATTTTTAGTCTTTACTTTCCTTTTTGAATTGGGAAAGTAAGGAGGATATGAGAAAGAATTATTAAATTATATCAAATTTTTAATAGAAGTATCCATTAAGGATAAATATAAGAATGCATACATGTAATACACTAAACAATTTAGAATAAAATTACATGTTTGGTAAAATATTTGTTGTTTAAAATATTTACTAAAGCCACAAAATTATTAAAAAGTATTTGGTGATGATTAGAAATATTTAGTTGAATTAGAATAATTAATCTGGAAGGCTTTCGATACATAGAATAATCCTTAATATAGATAATATATTGAATTGATGATGAGTTTTTTAATAGATAATTATCCAGATATTTGGGCTCCAAGAATGATTTCAACTTTGAGTGATTCAAAATTAAAAGTAAATATTCAGATTCCAACTACTTTTATATCATGCATCTTTTTATTACATAATTAAGAGAATGATAAGTTTTCATAGAAGTTCTTTGATAAATTATTTCCTTTGGTTAGTTCAAATGTAGCATATATAAGATCTCTTTGTTAAACAACATGTTTATAATATATAAAGAAATAGAAATTAGAATATAAAGATTTTATTGAATATTTTGAAAGTAATAGAGAATGCCAGAAGATAATAAAGAATATAAGAGCTTTAATAGAAAGATATGAGAAATTGATGTTAACATTTGATTTAGATGGTATGGCAACAATATAATTTGATACATTTGGTGAGATAATACATCCATCAATAATTGAAATTTTAAAGAATACATGTACTTAAACAATTGCTGAATTAAAGAGTGAAGATAATATGAGTGAGAATCCTCCTCCTCCTTGGTTTTAATATGTAGAAAGATAATAATTAAGTACATAGTATTCTTAACAATTAAATTTCTAGAGGAAAATAAATTTAATAATGGATTAATTTGATTTATTTAAAGCGTATCAACCAAGATAAATTGTTGGAGATATAATAATAGTTGCAACTCTATTAGAGAAAATTCCAAATTTTGGTCATTTGACTAGAACTTGTGAAATATTTGGATGTAGAGAATTAGTATTACCTAATAAAAAGATTTTATAAGATGAACAATATTAATCAGTTAGTGTAAGTGCTGAATAACATTTACCAATTATAGAGATAAAAGAAGAACATTTAATGAATTATTTATAATTAAAAAGATTATAAGGTTATTAATTAGTTGCATTAGAATAAACAAGTCAAAGTAAATAAATTGTGAATTTTAAATTTGATAAAAAGACTGTATTAGTACTAGGTAAAGAAAAGACTGGATTACCGATTGAATATATAGAATTAATGGATAATTGTGTTGAAATTCCCTAATATGGAGTAATTAGATCTTTGAATGTTCATATTTCAGCTGTAATATGTGTTTGGTAATATGTGTAATAGTGGTGTTGATCTTCAAAAAAAAGAATTATTAAGATGAATTTATATATATATATCATGCAATTTTATAATATCTATTAAATGCTGGTGAATAAATTAATTTAAAGAAAATAACAGCAAATATAGCTCCAGCAAAAGGTCCTGCAATGAATACCCACATTGAATTCAATCTTTCTACTTCATTAGTTTTCAAAACTTGAAATAATTCTAAAGCCACTGCCATTCCAGGATTTAAGCAACCTACAAAATCAATGTTATATACCTCCAGAATGAAAAGTATAACATCTTGATAAATGTAATGATAATGCTATCAATGTAATACTAGCTATTGGTTTATCAGAAAAAGTTGTTCTAGGATTACCTTTTATGTATTTGTATATTTTTACATTAAATTAATATCATTAGAATAAAAGAGAATGATCCTAAAGCTTCACCACTAAAATCAGCTATAATCCAATGAAAATTCAAATCTGTCACCATTGGACTATTTATTTATCCCAAAATCATATAACAAAAGAATGCTCCTCCAAATGCACCAATCAGTTAAGCAATCCAATATAATAAACAAGTACCAGTTGATATTTATCTAGTCAACCACATTGCTAATGTTACCTATTTATTATTATTAAATTACAGCGGGATTTATATGTCCACCACTAATTGGTGCACATAAAGCTAAAGATCCAAAAAATGCTAACGCTATCTTACCATCACTTCCATTTGAACATACAATCCTACATTCTCATATATTATTACCCATAAGCAAATAAAGACATTGATATCATCTCTATTAATGCTCCATTAAATTTCTAAGCATGTCTCTAAGAAAATGTCAAATTTTGTTATTCCATTTCACTCCTCTATTTTTCTAATAAATTTATTTATATAATTTTTAAAGATTTCTATTATCAATCAACTATTATCATTTTGGCTTCATGTCTAACTACAATCTACTCTACATCATATCTAATTTTATTATTCACATCTATTTCTCTCATTATTCTATTCAATTAAGTTAATCCACTTTTCATTACATCATTATAATTTATTATATTCTTCTCAAATATTATTTAATATTACTCCTTACTCCCACTTTTTATATAATTCTAATTCTCTAACTCTATCCCAAATCTATTGCTATTATTATATCAATTCTTTAATCTATCTATAACTTCAAACAATCATTTCCTATATTTACTGTTGCATCATTTATAAATAACTATTCAAAAAAAACATTTTTAATCATAACAAAACTTGATATCTATTATTTTATATTCTATCCATATACTTTTGGTATACGAATTAATATAGATTAACATTAGCATATTAAGTTCACCTTCAATTTCTATATTTTTATCCCCTTTCTTTAATTATCATCTCATTTTTGTATTTCAATTAAATATCAACTCTTTGCATTTTCAATTTAATATCAGCTCTTATTTATTTATGGATTCCAATTTTTACAATTATTTTATATCTAATTATTTTCTATTCATATTTATTTAACTTATTTTTATTTATTCTCTTCGATATATACCTCTAATAAATTTTATATACTATTATAAATTATATAAAAAGTTATTATACCTATTTTCTAAATGCAAACTATAAAACTAACATTTATTTTTTTTAATATGAAATAAAAATTAATAATGGGATTGACTTATTCTGTGATATACATCTGTTGGTGTAAACATGTGAAAAAAATGTGGGTATATGAATTTAATTATTTAGCTTGAAAATGATGTTGTGAAATTTTATTCAAATCATGTCACCCCCTATAAAAATCGATATTAATGAATTTTATTCTAACATTATACAAGTAAATCAAATCTCCTATTCAAAATTCATTTTTAAAGAGTTTTATTTCCAATTGATTTAAAATTCCTTTTTTAACTTCATTCAAATTTTGATCATTAATTCAAAATAGAAATTTTGACCAAATCTCTATCCATTACAGATAAGGATAAAAATTTTGCTAAAACTTTTTGTTCATCTTTGTGAATCGATAAAGGTTGAATGAATTCTTAGCTATTTTTTAATTTTACACAATCTTATTAATAGATCTATTAAATACTCAAATCAACTATCGAATTTAGTGTTTGTTTTCTTCAAATTTATCAGAAGAAAATCCTGATATAGACTACAATCTGATTGATTAATCAAAAAATTTTAAATCTTTTTATTAAAAAAATTATTATGGGAAAACTTCACGGAACTTTGGCCAAAGCTGGTAAAGTCAGAAAACAAACACCAAAAGTTGAAAAATAAGTCAGAAGACACAAAATTCCAAAGGGTAGAGCTTATAAAAGAATTTGCTTTAACAGAAGGTTTTTGAAATAAATAATAATACATTAGATTTGGAACAGCTGTTGCTGGAACAGGACCTTAATAAAAGAGAAAAGGACCAAATTGGCATGCAGGAAGAAAGGAATTAATTGAAGAAGAAAGAAAGAAATAAGTTGAATAAAGAAGATAAAGAAAGAAGGATGCACCCAAATGATTAATACAATACAGTAAATTATTCAAACAAATAAGATTATTTGAACAGCAAACATTATTTTCTTTTTTCTGAATGACTTTTTTCGAAAATCTTTCAATATTCATTTCTTTGCCAAAATATATTTGAGTTTTACTAAATTTTTTCTAAAATAAAAAATATTATAGATATCAATTATTTTCATAATAAAAGTTGAAAAATATATTTTTAAATATAATTAGAGTTTCATCATTTGATAATCAAATCTTAATCTCTTTTAAAGTCTTCAGTATATTATAAAGAATATATTAATTATTTTAAATCAAATATTTTAATGAGTAAATATAAATTATAAGATAGAAAACAATCAATTAATACTTTATTAATCAATATAAATACAAGAATATATACAAATCAAAAAATGCTTTCAGAAGACTTTCTCGACCAGCTTGATATATTTTCCAATAAATTAAATTCTACTTATGTTTGCTATTCAATTTTCATTTTGTGCTACTCCTTTACAGGACTAGTATCTTTTATAATTAAAGTTTAAATTGAATTTTTATACTTAGAATCAAATCTTTATGGGCTTGATGTTAGTCTAAGATTTGAATCTAAACTAGCTTATTAAAGTTTATTTCCTTTTTTAGTAGTCTCATCCATAATTAAGTTACTTTTTCTTGAGTTTGTACGTATGGTATTTAATCTCAAATTTAAAGGTGCTATATTTTAAGGTTTCGAGAGTGGATTTAATCTTAGAATATAAGGAAATTTATTATTTTCGAATTCACTTTTACAGCGACTTCTTTCATTTTGAATGAATTGAATTTGTTTTATCATATTTTAAACTCTGATTTTAATACTTATATTATTAAAGGGGGCCTTCTGTTTTTAAGCATAAATTTTATGTAATAATCTACTTCGGTTATTTTTTTCTTTTTCCATCCTAGTTAATTATTCATTCATATTAAATATAAATTTTTATTATAAGTAGCATCATAGTTAATAAATAAAATTATTAATTTTCATTCTATAAAATATACATTGCTTTATTTGATGATATGTAATCAATTTGAAAAATGAAGGTTTATTAAAATTACATAAATCTTCAAGAACTTTTTCTATTTAATTTAATTGATCATCTTTTATTGCACTTGCTTTTTAAAATTCCTTTATTTATTTAATTTAATTTCTAAACATTAATTGATCTACAGCAAAAAACTAGTCTTTTGAAATTATTGAAAACTCTAGTTAACTAAAGTTAATTTAATCATTTATTTACTAAATATTAAAAATTATTACTTTCAACAATTAAAGTTTGTAAATATAATCATAAGCTTCATTATTAATATCTTTTGTTGATAGACATTTTGTTAAGTTTTCAGTTTTCTAAATTAGATCTGAAATTTCAATTTTTTGAATCTATAATGAAATTGGGAGATATAAATATTCATCAACATTCATATAAGGAATTTAATATGATAAGATTATTTTTTCTTTCAATTTTTCAAATTTAAGTGATGGATGCTTAATTTAATAAATTATGTCAGGAATCTCTTCAATATTTCCAGTTATCTATATATTGGTATAAATTTATTGATTTAATATGGATAAACTAATTAAATAATATTTTTTACGCAGTAGGAAGTTGATATAATATCCTTTTGTATTGCAAATCTAAAGTTAAAAAAACTTAACTTGATTGAAGATTCTCTAAATATATTTAATTTATGTTAGTAGGGTCACCACAATAATAAATATAAGGATAACTATCAACTTTATCTAATATTCTCTAATCAAAATCTTATGAAAATATAATAATTCTGCATTCTCTATAATTTTTGTTTGAGTAATTATCAAAAGCCTCCAATTCTGTCTTCAAATTAGTGTTATTTACTTATTCTTAAGTGAAATCGAAAAATTAGGTTTGAAATGAGTACTAAAATAAATAAATTTAAAAAAACCTTCATAATTTCATTTTTTAATCTTTATTTTAATGTGTCTTTGACAAGATTAAAAATTATGCAAAAATAACATTCATAGGTCTTGACAAATTAGAAACATGATATTTTTAATAATTATAAATTAAATAATTTTGAAGCTTGTTAATTTTGAATAAGTTCATATTTAATTTAAATATTGTCGTTTATGAGGCTATAAAATTTTTCACTTTATTCATCATCAAATTTATCTGAAGTTTATTAAATAGATTTAACTAGTTCTGCAAATTTTTACTCAATAATAATTGAAGATGTTGGAACATTAGAATAATCCATATAATTAAATTTAAAAAATTTAAAAAAATAATATAATAAATGTAATTTGAAAATTAAGGCAGCGAAAAAAAATTGAAAACTAATAATAGTTTAAATGTTAGCTAGAAAAGCCTTTCATCTAAAAATTTATAAAATAATTTAGGATTCTATAATATTGAGAATCAAAATTAGAAATTGATTGTAAATTAAACTTTTAAAATAGGGATCCTACTTGATTAATTCAAAAGGATAAGAAGTTATAATGCCATAATTTAAAAAGCTAGAGGAATTTGAAGATTTAAGACCTAAAGCTATTAAGAAAATATTATAAGATCCTTTTGAATTGAGAATGGTTTTATTAAAAAATGAATTAGAAGATGATTATCCTTAAGAATAAACAAATTCAATAATTCATAAACATTCTAATATAAGTGAATCAACATTTATGCATTAACTATTAATTTAAGAATAATTAAAAGAAGTCACTTGCTAATTTTAAAATGATTATTTTGTTCAATTTTTAGAGAAACCAAAAAAAGATGATTATAAAAAAAGAGCTGAAATTTTAGCTAAAGTTTACATGAAAAATAATTTATAACAAGAAAGACACAAAGTAGAAGAGGAATTGAAAATTGTATAAGTATAATTTTAGCTGTATATAAGTAATTTACAGAAGAAAATGATGAACAAGATCGTTCAATGAATCTAATTATACATAAAAATCTCACTGGATTTTATTAGAGGTAGGAGAGCATTGAGTAAGATAATAATGAATAAACTTAAGAAATTATTTAAAGAATTGATTAGTTATATTTTTAATTATGTTAATCAATTGAATAAAAGATATATGAGTTATATTAAAATGATTAAATTGATTAATGTATAATATGGAAAGAAAGAAAAGATAATTTAGAAACTGACATTTAAAATGTTAAAGATAATGGATAATTGTTGTAAATTATTGAATTATTTAAACTTCATTATCAGCTATGAATTTTTTAATAATACGTTTATCGTCATATTTTATGATATAAATTAAAACTTATAGAAACTATATTATATTTATAAAATAAATTTATTTAAATGTCTGTGTTGTTAAATAGAAAATTTCTATTTTTAGAATCTTTAAGCAGCATCTTTTTGCCATATAACTTAAAAGTTAAAATTTATTTTCTTCAGATGGAATTTAATGAAAAAATATTGAAATTAATATGACTTATATTAAATAGATTTCCTTAATAAATTTAATCATATTATTGCCAGAGTTAATGAAAATTAAAATGAGATTATGAGCATAAATAATAGAGAGAAAATCATCATAAAGTTGTTTTTGTTACTAATAATGTGAAACCTCCTTTTGTTGATAAAAATTATGTATTTGAGTTTGTCTTTGCACATTTAAAGATATTAAATGATGTTTTTCTTGCTATGATTATAGGAATAGGACTAGATAATCTTTCAACTGATTTAGGAAATTTTGTATTTGAGCTTGATCTGAAATTTATATTTAGAACTTTATACTTCATTGTTTAAGGCTCTCCAGAAAATTAAAGCATTATAGAAGGATTTTGTTAGTTTTATGATTAATAAATAGTCATTGCTTCATCATTTATTTCTTCTATAAAATCCTGAAAAAATAATTTTAAAATCTTTTACAGAGAGTATTTTGCTTATCTTTTTAGTTTTTTTTGAAGTTTATTATTAACTCTTTTTATTGCTGCAACAAATCATTTTCAATATATCTTTAAAAATATTAATATTAATAATTTTTTGTTTTTTTTTATGAAAATTACTGTTCACCTCCTTTGTAATCAGTAAGTTTAAACTTTATTTGTTTTTATTGAACATTTTTAGAATGAAAATTCTTTCAATAAAATCTGAATTCATTAAAATATAAATGGATTTAAAAAATTACTATGAAATATTTTTTGATTCCATAAAAGAAAAATTATAAATGACTAAATAAATTAGAAGAAATTCAAATTTATTAATATTAGTTAACAACAAAAAATTTTGATAAATTATCTATCCTTATAATTGAAACATATACAAAAATTAACTTTCCATATTAATAATGAGAAATATGTTTCCTAAAATTGATTATGAATTAAATTGTTGCAAAATGTTTTATAATTTCATGTATTAATGATAATTATATGAATGAATATATTTAATCATAATATTGTGACTTATTTCTTAAATCCTGAAATAGATAATCAGATAAAGATAAGTTTAAAGAGTATATATTTTAAAATAAATACAAATCGTATTTTGAAAGGATCCTTTTTATTCAGTCTTGATCATTATAATAAAATTAGATATTTAAAAATAATTTAGATATTAAAATATCAATTATTTTATGAATATAATATTAGATGATGATGAATTTTGATTATTTTTAATATTTAATTATAATAAAATAATTTTAGTGGATGAATTAAACAATCTAAGTGAAAGTATTGATTGGATAGATTAATAATAATTATAATTTTTAAGGAAATATAAATCGAATAAATGTATCCCTTTAAAAATACACATAAAAAGATGAGATAGATATTTTAGTTTTTCCTGAAATGGCTTTGATTGGGTAAATATGAATTAAAATATCATAGATACTATTATCCAGATAAAACTGCAATAAAGCCATTCTTAGAATAATATGCATAAGGGCCTACTTATGAATTTTGTAAATAAATAGCTTAAAGATTAAAATGTTATGTAGCCTGTGGATATGCAGAAATTGATGGAGATAAATTATATAATTCAGCAGTTGTTGTTAATAGAAAAGGGGAAGCTATTTTAAATGTAAGAAAGAAACATTTGTTTGAAACTGATAAGACATGGGCAAATGAAGGTTAAGAATTCAAGTGTTTAGAAATTTAAACGACAAAAGGTTAAACAATAAAATTTGCATTTGGTATTTGTATGGATTTAAATCCATGGGAATTTAAAGATAATAGCAAATTTGAATTGGCTGATTTTTGTATATAAAATTAAGTGGATGGTCTTATTTTTATGGCTGCTTGGAATGTAAATTATGATTCTATTTTTTTAGGATCATGAACCTGATAATGATGATAATAAGGGAATTTTATAGTATTGGCTTTGGAGACTTAAACCAATTAGAGATGGAAAATAAAATAACTATAATAAAAAATTCATTTTCATTTGTGCAGATAAAGTTGGAAAGGATGAAAAAACTTAATATATGGGATCCAGTTGTTTAATTAAACTAAATCCAACTAAATTGATATAAGATTTATAAAAAAAGTAAGAAAGCTATTTAATCTGCAATGTTTAATTGTGATTATGTATAAATTTATATAATTAATCATATAATTTAAAATGGAAGAAAAGAAAGAAACTTAAGATCTAGCTTAATTAAAAAAAGAAATGCTTGGAACAGCCATTGTAAAAGTAATATTTGTTGTTAAATAAAGGATACAGATATGACTCCAGATATGCTTTCAGAAGTTTAAGATTCAATAGTTTCAGGAATTGAAAACAACTCGGCTCCAATTTTATCTATTGAAGTATCATAATTATTCATTTTAATAAAGAATGCATGCAAAACAATTAAAGAAGCACTTGAAAAAAAGTATGGTCCAACTTGGCAAGTTATTATAGGTAATTCATAATTATTATTAATTCAAGGTGAAGGATATGCTTATGATGTAACAGTTTAAAACAATACAAGACTATTTATGTTCTATAATGGTAATTTAGCTTGTCTAGTGTTCAAATCATGATGTATTTTTAAATATCAACCTTATAAAATAACTTAATTTAAAAAATAAATATTTATTCGGTAATTTTCTTAAGTTTTTTTATTACAAAAAAAATAAATTTTATCTAATAATTAATTTTTAGAAAATATTACACAATACTCTTTTAAATTTAAAATAAATCTTAGATCAATAAAGTTATTTTTTTTGCTCTATTCAAAAATTAATTTAAAAAAAAAATACTAAAAATAATTTCTTATATACAATAATTCTATTTTAAGTAAATAGTTATAGTTTTATATAAATTAGAATTTAATGTATCAATTATTTAGAGTTTTTTTCAACTAATCCTACATTTCTTTGTGTCCTTCCTATATTTAAATTATTCTCTCTTTTAAGAGGTTAGATATATGAGAAATTTTTTCATTTATTTATTTTTATAATTAAATTTCTTATTCCAATGCTTCTTTTAGGTTATTTATTTTTGAATTTTATTCCTATTTTGTGAGAAAATTATTTAGTTCCTAAATTTCATATTTTAAACATTCGTTCAAATCTAATAATCTATTTCTAAACTTCTCTTTTTTACTAAGAGATAATAATTTATCAAAAAGTTCTTGAATCGAATGAAAAAAGTTGAATCCAAAATTTTATGATTTTTATTTTAACAATTCTATATTATCGAAAATAGATTATAAAATTTATTGTTTCTAAATATTTTTGATTTCTGATTCAACTCTTAATTCGGATATATTTTAATTTTACTATATAATATCATTTTTTAAGAATTAATT